AGCGCTTGCCCTGCGGCCCGTGCCCCAGTGTGCCGATATTGGCGTCTCATGTGAACGTACAGCACCTGGTTGCAGCCACCGCTGTGTGTTCGCATCGCGTCTTGTGCACAGTGGGCCAAGTGAGGTGTCTGCTGAAAGCTGCTGCTTTGCTGACTCTGTTCAGACTGCGCCTGGGCATGTAGGACTCCTGAGGAACTTCTCTGGGAACCTTCAGACCAGCCTGCGAGCGACGGCTGCTATGGAATCTGGCATGGACGGGGCGCTTGCTCGTGGCACACTCCACAGTGGGACAACCATGGGATTCCCTCTGCACGGGCAAGGGGAGGAAGAGGGTGTAATATATCAGGTGGTCGGGGCATCATTGAGAGGGTCAGATCAGGGTGAATTGCTCAGACCCAAAGCTACTTGTAGCCTAAGATGGGGCCCTTCCCTGTAAGGTGCCAAACTAGCTGCACTGAGCATGTCAGCTACCAGCCTGACCAGCACGAAGCCTCCCAAGCAAATCCTCTCGCCACCAAAGTGTTCCCTGTGCCCCCTCCCCCCCAACCACCACCCACCTCACACAGGGGAGAGGTTAGAACCCATCCCCCACCTCCCCTCAGACACCTCAGTGCTCCCTGTGGCTCCCCCAGCCCCCCTTACACAGGGGAGAGGTTATAACCCATCCCCCCCTCCCCTCAGACACCCCAGTGCTCCCTGTGCCCCCCCAGCCCCCCTCACACAGGGGAGAGGTTATAACCCATCCCCCCCTCCCCTCAGACACCCCAGTGCTCCCTGTGCCCCCCCAGCCCCCCTCACACAGGGGAGAGGTTATAACCCATCCCCCCCTCCCCTCAGACACCCCAGTGCTCCCTGTGCCCCCCCAGCCCCCCTCACACAGGGGAGAGGTTATAACCCATCCCCCCCTCCCCTCAGACACCCCAGTGCTCCCTGTGCCCCCCCAGCCCCCCTCACACAGGGGAGAGGTTATAACCCATCCCCCCCTCCCCTCAGACACCCCAGTGCTCCCTGTGCCCCCCCAGCCCCCCTCACACAGGGGAGAGGTTATAACCCATCCCCCCCTCCCCTCAGACACCCCAGTGCTCCCTGTGCCCCCCCAGCCCCCCTCACACAGGGGAGAGGTTATAACCCATCCCCCCCTCCCCTCAGACACCCCAGTGCTCCCTGTGCCCCCCCAGCCCCCCTCACACAGGGGAGAGGTTATAACCCATCCCCCCCTCCCCTCAGACACCCCAGTGCTCCCTGTGCCCCCCCAGCCCCCCTCACACAGGGGAGAGGTTATAACCCATCCCCCCCTCCCCTCAGACACCCCAGTGCTCCCTGTGCCCCCCCAGCCCCCCTCACACAGGGGAGAGGTTATAACCCATCCCCCCCTCCCCTCAGACACCCCAGTGCTCCCTGTGCCCCCCCAGCCCCCCTCACACAGGGGAGAGGTTATAACCCATCCCCCCCTCCCCTCAGACACCCCAGTGCTCCCTGTGCCCCCCCAGCCCCCCTCACACAGGGGAGAGGTTATAACCCATCCCCCCCTCCCCTCAGACACCCCAGTGCTCCCTGTGCCCCCCCAGCCCCCCTCACACAGGGGAGAGGTTATAACCCATCCCCCCCTCCCCTCAGACACCCCAGTGCTCCCTGTGCCCCCCCAGCCCCCCTCACACAGGGGAGAGGTTATAACCCATCCCCCCCTCCCCTCAGACACCCCAGTGCTCCCTGTGCCCCCCCAGCCCCCCTCACACAGGGGAGAGGTTATAACCCATCCCCCCCTCCCCTCAGACACCCCAGTGCTCCCTGTGCCCCCCCAGACCCCCTCACACGGGGAGAGGTTATAACCCAACTCTCCATCTCTGAACAGGCTCTCCCCATCCCAAAGGACCAGCCCCAGTCCTAGGTCAATTTATAGCTCAGATTTTACCCAGGGAGCTCGCTGGGCCCACCCTTCAGTATCTCCCGCAAAAGGTTTCTTAGTAACAGAAAGAAAAGGTTGAGGGGGAGCTGGCTGAAGGGAATTCATCCCGCACTTCCGGCACCCAGTGCTCGGTGCTGGCTCTTAGCAGGGCTGGGCCCAGCCACCAGCTTACAAGTCTCTGGAGCACAGCCTGTCAGGCTGGGTCCGTGAATCCTTCCTGGCCTCTGTCCCCAGCACTGGTGCTTCTGGAGCGAAGGGCAGCAGTGGAGAGGAGATGGAGGCTCCCTCAGGATACTGTTATAACCTCACCCATGCAGGGGGAAAGCCCTCCTTCTCCTGCGGGCTGGGCCTCCCAAAATGGGCTGATCACATGACCCACAAACCAGTTTCTGCCCTTTTTAGGCCGGGGCCATGGCGTCCCAGGTGGATCCTTCTCAGGCCAGGGCTGTTGGGTGCTCCCCAGGTGGCAAGTGGCGACCCGTCAGAACCATCCTCCCTGCAGTGCTGAGCAGCGCCCCCCCAGTGCAAACATGTAAAATGGCAACACCAAGCCTGTCTCCAGAACTGCACCCACAGACTGTACTTGGAGCTGAGTGGCCTGGCCGGAGCCAGCAGCTCACGAGCTCTCCTTTGACACCTCCCCTGGCCACTCTGCACCGCCTGCGGGTGCAACGCCGATCTGCCTCCGCATTCAAACCCAGTC